TTGAGTCTTCCCAACGCTCGTCTGGTCTCTTAATGTTTACTGACCAAAAGTAAAGTGTTAGTTACTGGTTTATAGAGATTCAAGTGAAGAATTACACCAACAATTTATAAAAGACAATTAAATCCCCCTCTCCCCCTTAACACAAGATCAAGTGAAGAATTACACCAACAATTTATAAAGACAATTAAATCCCCTTCTCCCCCTTAACACAAGATCAAGTGAAGAATTACACCAACAATTTATAAAAGACAATTAATCCCTCTCTCTTAACACAAGAATAAGTGAAGAATTACACCAACAATTTATAAAAGACAATTAAATCCCCTCTCCCTTAACACAAGAATAAGTTTGGAGGACCGACAAAAAAACAAAAAAACACGAGAGAAATATTTTCAAAAACAAAACAATTTGCATCACAACAACGAAAACAACACCAACAACAACAACAAACAAGAGAGAGGTGGAGGGAGAGGTCGTGTATCACCTCCATGATGGCCTCACTACACCGGCCTCGGGACCTGGGGGACCGGAGTCTGTCACATTGATACATTGTCCCTTTTTCAATAACAGTGAATGCTGCACGGTTGTAGTGGACCTCGCCAGTTTGGTTCACCGCATCGCATCGCGTCATATTGCAGAGGAGGATGTATGTAGAGTTTGTACAGTGCATGAGGCGGGTTATGCCTCCGGTCACTGGCCAGACAGACAGAGGCAGGGAGAAAGAGACACACACAGATAGACAGACACAGACCGGGGCAGGGAGAAAGACAGACAGAGACAGCCAGACAGACAGAGACCGGAGCAGGGACAAAAAGAGACAGAGACAGACAGACAGACAGAGACTGAAGCAGGGAGAAAGACAGACACAGACAGAGAGAGAGAGAGAGAGAGAGAGAGAGAGAGAGAGAGAGAGAGAGACTTCTTGATGCATTGTCTGAGACCTTTGTTCTACTTTGCGTGGCGCCATTGTTGACATAGTACACCTGGGCGGATATACTATATAAACAGTGGCAGTAAGAAGGCGGCGTGAAGGACAGCCACTGGCGGAAGAATGTGTTTAATTGTCCCTGAGTCTCTGGTCTTACTGTATCTTGGTGCTAAATGACTTGTATTAATGGCAGATAAATAAAACTAAATAGTGGTCTTGTTGTAGTAAAGGATTATTGTATGATTGTGGTTTATAGAGTATTTTTTGGTACTGGTAGTAGTGGTTGTGAGAGTAGAGAGGATTGTGGTAGTGGTGATGATGGTACTGGTTGTACAGATAGTGATGGAGTTGGTGGTAGTGGTGGTAGTTATAATGATATTGACTTCTAATGGTAATAAGATGGTGATGACAGTGATAATTAATTAATGGTAGTGATAGTGGTAGTTGATGGTGGCGATAGTGGTAGTTGATGGTGGCGATAGTGGTAGTTGATGGTAGTGATAGTGGTAGTTGATGGTAGTGATAGTGGTAGTTGATGGTGGCGATAATGGTAGTTGATGGTGGCGATAGTGGTAGTTGATGGTAGTGATAGTGGTAGTTAATGGTAGTGATAGTGGTAGTTAATGGTAGCGATAGTGGTAGTCTTTATTGTCCTTGTATTAAGTAATCACAACCACAATTCCTATTTCGTATACCTCCATCCTACCTCCCTTACCAAGAGAACACACACACACACACACACACACACACACACACAGTTTCACGACCCAATATAAGGCTACACGTGGGTTCTTACTTGCTCGATTCCGCTCCTCTTGCCGTGTCGTAAACCTTAGCTAGAGATATGCACAGAGTTCAATGCAGATTTGTGGAAGAGAGAGAGAGAGAGAGAGAGAGAGAGAGAGAGAGAGAGAGAGAGAGAGAGAGAGAGAGAGAGAGAGAGATATACATGTGTGTGTGTGTGTGTGTGTGTGTGGAGAGGTGTGCATGACGACGAGGAGTGTGGGGAGAGAAAGAGATGAAGGAGGAATAGAAGAACATCATAAGAGAAGAAGGTAGTACTTGGACAGTCTTTCATGGCTGTCACTGCGGGGGTGGGTGTCTGAGTCGACAAGTAGAACCAGTCGACCTTTGAGTTCCTCTTTATGACCCGACACTCACTCTCTCTACCCCTTCATCAACCTCACCTCCATTACCTCCCGCCTCTGCTCTGGATGATGCCTCAGGGAATTAGAGCAGACATGGATTTACTTTCTCTCTCACATACACACACAGAGGAAAAGAATGAATCAGCATCGTTAATAAGCCTTTGAGAATCCAGTCTTTGGTTTAACTAAAAACATTTGGTTTGGGGTCATTAATCTTGTAACTTTGGTCCTATGAACATAAAAGTCATTAGTCAAGAACGTTTGTGTGTTGTGTTTATGTGTGTGTGTGTGTGTGTGTGTGTGTGTGTGTGTGTGTGTGTGTGTGTGTGTGTGTGTGTGTGAGGAGAGCTGGAAACAAGCTGACTACCTGAACTACTATGAGCTGGCAGAGTCGTAGTGCCCTCTATAGTCACTACGACTACGGGAGGTTACTTAGTGAACAACATAATTTTTATTTATTTCTTATAAAGACAGAGATGTTTGAGCTATATTACATCCCCACGAAAATTATTAAATCAATAGGTATCTTTAAAATTACCTGTCGCCTTCATAACGTTGGCTGGGCAGATCTCTGAAGAAAGTTATTGTGGTTGGGCTCCATCGTGGGTAAGGCCGGTACAAGGTCCACGACAACTTGTGATACAATATTTGGCTGATGAAACTAATAAAAGCAGCCCAGTTGTTTTGTGACGTTGTTGATCAGGAAGGGGTCGAGCGGTAGGGAGAGGAATGGGAGTCCCTCTAAGTTTTTCGTATTATAAAAAAAAAAAAACTCTGAAAACTGTTTGAAAATCTTTAACAAATAGATATGACTGGATATAATCAGATGAACGGAGAGAGAGAGAGAGAGAGAGAGAGAGAGAGAGAGAGAGAGAGAGGCCCCTTCTCCCTCAAATCATCGTAAGACTCTTTTATATGATTCCCAACCTCAGAGAAAAAGAAAAGAATCCCTCAGTATTATTTTGTCTACTTTTTTCTTCTATATTACGACGACAACTTTGGGAAGAGCTTTCAATAACTCCTCAATCTCTACCAGTCATTGAAGGCAGATGTGAAGATTAAGAAGAACTATTATTATTATGAAACTTTCTCTCTCTCGCAATGGGTGAATTGAAGTTGACCAAAAAAAATCCTCTTAGAAAATATCAAAATATCTTGATGTAGGATTAGGAGGAGAAAATTGTAGTTCACTGGTGTGTATGTGTGTGTGTGTGTGTGTGTGTGTGTGTGTGTGTGTGTGTGCAAGTCTGTCTTCTCTAGTAAAAAATGTGGTAATAACGGGGTTTGTGGGATGAATAATGGATAAGATAAGTGAATAACGGAGGAAAAGTCACACAGTTCTTCATATTGAAAGGAAATAATAATAATAATAATAATAATAATAATAATAATAATAATAATAATAATAATAATAATAATAATAATAAATAAAAATGGACAAAAAACAAAATCAATAGGCAAATAAGAGAGACAGACAGACAGACAGACAGAAAAAGTCTATAACTATTATTTCCAGAAGACCGTCCATGGGTGTCCATAAGAATGAATCATGACCGAGAAAGTCTTATACGGGAAGAAAGTTTGTATCCACCTGAACCTTAATGATCCTTCCTGCGGTCATTTTGTTGGGGATCTGGCGCACGATGCTAAGCCGAGTACACAGGTTCGACTATTGGTGGTGGGTGTGTGTGTGTGTTGGGAGGGTGTCATGGAGGTAATGTCTTAACTTTTTATTTATTTATTTTTTGTTTTATGGGGAATAGCCCACCCAGGCTCAGGTCATCGACCCCCAACGGGCCTGAGGACCGATAAAAATAAGAGTAAAAAGAAATTAAAAATAGAAAAGAAAAAGATTATATTATTCTACACCACGAAGATGCCGGAAAACCAGCTTTTTGAAGTGAGGCTTCGTATGAGTATGGAAACACAGAAGAAGGCAAATAATTCCACAGTTTGGTTGTGTGAGGAAAAAAGGATGTACTATAACGGGTTATTATAGTGTGGCCGACATCCACAGAGAAACGGTGGGCACCACGGGCAAGACGAGTGTTACGAGCCCACGGCCTTGCCGGCGGTACACAGGATGCCAAATCCACCGAACATTGCCCGTTAATGTACCTGTAAAAGAAAGAGAGTGAAGCAACATTGTGGCCAAGAGAAAGGGAAGAAGGATTATCAACTGAAGGAGGAGAGTCAATAAGACGAAATGCCTTTGATTCCACCCTATCTAACAGTTGGACAGAAGAAGAGCCACTCCAGATATGAGAGCAGTACTCCAAGTTAAGATGAATAAATCCCTTATAAACTTGAAGCAACTGCTTAGGAGTGAAGTAGCTATGGCATCTGTACAGCATTCCCAGCTTTGGGAGGCAGCTTTAGCCATGTTGTGGATGTGTGGCTTCCATGACATATTAGAGGAAATGGCGAGGCCTAGCATACCTCTTTTATAATTTGGCAGAATGATTGCGTCCTGAAATGTTGTGATTGTGGTTGTTGTTGTGGTGGAGGTAGTGGTTATTGTTGTTGTTGTTGTATCAGTATCATAAATACGGTACCTTAATGTAGGTATGAACAGAAACACAAACTATTTCCACCACCACTAATGATAAACTACTCTTGATGTTTATCTTTATCCAGGTATATGACAGATGAATCCTCGAGTCGATGTTAGTAGTGAACTTTAATCTCTAACACCACATTCTTCTCCTTAAAAATAAACAATAATTAATTCTGTTCCTCGTGGGAGTAAATACGAATTCTTTCAACATTAGTTCATCGTCTTCTCTTACAATAATAGTGACGTGGAAAGGGGAAATAAGTATTGTTACATATATTCACTGATGTGTCCCCCCTTAACCCCTTGTTCTCCTTCCTATAGTAGTAAGCAGGTAAACTAACTCCTTCCTGTTCTTCTTCCCCCACAGAGGCCAAGCTGAACACAACATGTCAGTTCACGAGTCAGTGTATCGAGGCCGACGAGTTCAGCTTCTGCCAGGCCTCCATCTGTGTGTGTGGCGAAGGCTACAACTTCGAAGAATACCCCAACATCGGCTTCATCTGCGCCACCAGTAAGTTGTGTGTGTGTGTGTGTGTGTGTGTGTGTGTGTGTCAAGAGCTTGTGTGAGTATAAGAGAGGAGAGTGCCGCAAGGGGAGGGGGTTTATACCTGAAGGAACACCCCAGAGAGAGAGGGACTGCGTGTTTATATGAGGGTATTTATTCGTGTGTCTGCGGCCCGCTTTACCCTCCATAAACACACACCTTCACTACATAATACGACTTTACGTAACCCGACTTGATTACACTGGTCTGGCGTCTCTCCTGGGTCCTATAGACGGGCTGGGTGAAGTCACTGTACCTCATTGAAAACCAGGAGCCGGATTTTCAAAAAGGATTTACGGTAATGTATCTCCCAGCTGACTGTAAATCGACCCTCGAGGTTGTAAGTCCTCTCTGTAGCGATACTCAATACAAAATATCCGCCATGTTGTGTCGTATAACTTACAAGACCTTCGTAGTTCCTGTAACGGAATAAAACCCGGAGATAGTGTTGTATATTTCCAGATTGTATAAACAGTATATTGATAAACCTCATTGAAATTGATTTATCAGACATTGCAGAAAAATAGGTTTCAAATATTTCAGTGTTAAATAGTATTAAAAGATAAAATCTGATGAGTTACAAATGATCTTATAAACAGCAGCTGTGTTTGTTAATGTTTAGCAGGCAAGATGGCGTTGATCCCTGTGTATTTAAACGATCGAGCTTTGCGACGTAACAGGTTCTAAATATTTCCTCGGTGTGAAATTTTGAAGGGCGGAGAACGAATGAAAGAGACAATAAGAATGGAAGTTAGAAAGGGATATAGAGAGATAGAAAGAGACAAAAAGAATGAAAGACAGAAAGCGAGAGAGACAAAACGAGAGAAAGAGATAAAGCTCTTTTGTTATGCCTTAGAGATTACTATAATATCTCATACGAATAATTTCATCTCTTAATCTCGCCCTAATCAACCAACTCTTAATCCATCTTACTAATCTAGTCATTTCCACCTCAACAGCTTATTTAACTACTCTTAGTCCTTAGGTTGACTATAGTTATTAAAGCTGGACTCAAGTTCCTTCAGGACTTTAGTGGACTTAAATTATAAAGTCGTTTGATATCCGCTCACCAAGTATCTATAACTAACTCTACAGTATATTTTATTACCGGCAGAAGCAAAGAGAGTCAGGGTTCTCTCTCTCTCTCTCTCTCTCTCTCTCTCTCTCTCTCTCTCTCTCTCTCTCTCTCTCTCTCTCTCTCTCTCTCTCTCTCTCTCTCTCTCTCTCTCATTAATCGAGGGACATTTACAGATTTTTCATTTCCTCAACAGAAGAGAGAAATCCTGGTCCCGGGGCCTTGGATCCTGCCATGATTGGTGTCTTGGCAGGCTTGGCGCTCATGTTCATCATCATCTGCGTCGTCCTGCGCCTCTTCTCCAAGTAAGTCTCCCTTAGGAACGGCCGCCACCATAGAGAACGGGAAGTGTCAGTCGCGTCACCAGTCCAAGTGTGATCAAGTGAAGATTAAGTACCCCAGATTATTTCAACTGATGATTAAATATCTTATCATTAACCTAACCTAGCCTAACTTAATCTAACCTAACCTAAGCTAACCTAACCTAACGTAACTTATGCTAACCTAACCTCGCCAGAAAGCGTAAAAGTGTTCAATAATAATCAGGTGAAATAACATGGGTGCCTAATCTTCAGGTGATCATGAAAGAGATATTTCCGGGTTGAATTAATAGAGTAATATCATTATACTGGTAAAATTCACTAGTTAAACTGCAAATTTCTACACCATAGAAAGTGGACAACCTCATTAGTTTACATTAGTTTACGATCTTGGTGAATATTTATAATGTCATATAATCTTGTTTCCATTTCTAATAGGTAAATAATAATGTATACCACTATCTTGCATTTTGTATTTGTTATTTTTCGAGAATATTCAGATACTATTATTTGGATATATATTTAATTATATATAGTTCAAAGAGTCGTGACGAGGCTAAGAACTCTATGAATCCCGGACCAATGAATGTGAATCAGCTCGGTGAAGGAGGATGGGGAGTGGAGGTGGTGGTGGGGAGTTGACCAAGTAGTTAACTGTGTATTAGTATTTTAATGGGGGGATAAATTAACACCAACATGACAAAAACAAAGTTAACAAGGTGTCAGATGGTGTCAGTGGTCAGAGTTATGTCAGGTATATTTACATTCACGAATATAAGTGTTAATAAGTAATGGTACCTTCCGCCCCTACTCCTCCTCCTTCCAGCTTAGAGTCGAGGGAGTGTCACATAATACAGCAGGAATAGAAGAAAACCTATAACCTCTCTGACTATTATATATATATATGTTATTACAAGAATATTGAGGTCGATATCTCTCACTCCCTCCCTCCCTCACCCCCTAGACCACCCACACATTAACGTCAACCTGCCTCACTCCCACATACTGCTCTCACTCAACCTGCACTCTCCCACCCTAGCCACATCTAACACAAATTGAAAATAAAATTGTTTCGATATTGAACTTATGTGAATAGATATCTGATGGAAGTAAACATCTCGCATCTATAACTGGTTAGTGTAAGAAGTAATGTCAAGATATTATACTGATACATTATCATAACTACGTAGTATGTGGTAAAGAGTTTATTATAATCCATGCTTTAGGTGGATGTTTTATATAAAAAAAAGATACTACAATTAACCATCTTTTTATAATATGTCAAAAATATTATCCATTTCTCAGTATGGGATGTGTGATATAAATACGATGTAGAGCCAGGACCCTCCATGCATAAGAAGAGAAGCCTTTGAATCTATAAAAGTATCAGGAATTAAGTTGTATCACACACACACACACACACACACACACACACACACACACACACACACACACACACACACACACACTCACTCACTCTCACTAACCATCACCACGACCTTATCTGCAAATTTGGAAAAAACCTTCTGCACCATCCTCGACACCGGCTCCTACTACCACCTGAGATCCCTAGCCCGAGAATTGCTGTTCGACACCACAACCGCATCCAGCCCATACGTGCACGAACTGATCGCTATAGGAACAGCCCAGTCCCAACCATTGTAAAAATTATCAATAATTTGTAATAAACCAGTGTATTCACTCCCAGTAAATACTACTTCTTGCACTGTCACTATGTTGAAATGCCCTGTAGTTTGAGCTTTTCCCCATCTAGTTATTATATATCTTATTTGTATCACTTATGTTATTTTTTTATATTATTTGTAAATCGAAACCCATTCCCCAAATATGTAACTGTATATTTTCAGCCTTCTGGCTGCCAAGCTCTTTCAATAAACCGTTAATTATTATTATTTTTATTATTATTTACACACACACACACACACACACACAATATTCCAAACCTAAGAACTCCGTATATTTCGTGGTTCAGTTAACAGTATTTACGTTCCGTGGGCGAAGGTCGTGGAAAGTGAAAGGAGATAAGTTGTAAGTTGGTTTGCACATCACCGAGCGCCATCTCTAATTCAGATTCATTGGTTCGTGATTCTTATGGTTCACGGCCTGGAACACCACTTATGAGCCTTATTCTCTGTTTCAGCCAATTATTATGGCTCATTGAGTGTTATTTATTAACCATTAGTTTTAAGAGTTGAAGGGTTACCATGTCTGCATCCATCTGGCAACACTGACAGAAGAACGTGTGGCAGGCAGCGCGGATACATCAGGCAGCTCAAATTATCATGCATCTTTAATACAGTGACTGAATATTGAGCCAGATTTTTGGCATTTTTTTTCTCCCTCTGATTTTTCTTCCTCACTCACTGATTTTTGAACATTTAGTATCATGATTTTTTTGTAAGGAAATCGATACATTTAGAAACTACAGCTTAACACCTAACCAACATGAAGTATGATTTATTGTGATTTAGATCATTTTAAAACACTGTGCATGAGATTAATTGTTATTTTCGTATATTGTTTTTTAGTACTGAAAATGACAAATACAGTAAAATCATCTAAATTAGTATTATTAGTGTATAAATGATTGTCCTTCCTTAATTATTTACCTGTATAACTTAAGGGACTTTCTCCTTTTCCTATTAATCTTCTGTAATTCTTCTTACGTGCCTCTGTTCTCATTCCTTTCACCTACTTTGTCTTTCCCTTATCTAATCCATCTTTCAAATTCCTTCTACCTACTCCTTTCTCTTACTCATCATCATCTTTAATTCTTCCTACGTATCCCTCACAGTTATTGCTCTCTCTCTCTCTCTCTCTCTCTCTCTCTCTCTCTCTCTCTCTCTCTCTCTCTCTCTCTCTCTGCTTCTCTACTTATGAGTAATGAGTGTGTATCCCTCCTATCCACTCATCTCTCCATCCTGTTTTCCACTTCTTCCTCTGTCCTTAATAGTCTCCCGTCACTACTTTCCTGTTACCCTCGTGTGTGTGTGTGTGTGTGTGTGTGTGTACCATCCCACTACCGTCCAATTTCCTTCTCTAATACCTGGGGTAATTCAGTAGGATCCCAGGTGTCAAGGGACTTGGTTATAACACTGGTACCAATCTTTACACTGGGATTAGTTGAGTACTAATTAGACTCGTCAATCACCCCGTTATGTGTTTTTGACATTGGAAACTGACCCATTACTACCTGTTGTTGATTTAAGCTTCTCATCACTGAATTAGTTAAAAATTTATTATTTTGTTTGGTCAGAAATACAGATTTACTTGAGTTCAGTAATGTTTTTTTTTTTTTCACCCAAAGAGAAATTTCATATCACTATATATTCCTAGACACTGTATCTTAGTATGACAAGTATGATAGTGCGGTTTCTTTAGTCATGCACTATTAATCTTCACTATTATATACTATTACTACGGAATTAGTTGCAGTACGTCACAAATACACTACCAAACTGAAATTGGATCATGCATAAAACAGATTAATTTTCGTTCATTACATTACAGCTGTGAGGGAACGTTGTCTTTTTATTTCTAACGAGTATTTTCTCTTTATATTACCAGATTCCTTCGATATAAGTGCAGTTTGTGTGTCTTCTGAGGTTATTTTTACACCTTTATTTAGCAGTGGTCTTGGTGTGTGTGTGTGTGATGTGCCTGCTGCTTTCATTCTGCCTCTAGCGTTGTTACCGTGGCATTGTTATTACTGAGTCATCTTTTTCTAGTGTGTTGTGACCATTCTTTCTTTCTTTCTTTCTTTCTTTCTTTCTTTCTTTCTTTCTTTCTTTCTTTCTTTCTTTTTGTAACCCTGAGAATGGAAAGTAATTTATGTGTTGTTCCATTATGATGTGTTAAAAAAATAATAATATTAATAATTCCAGGCAGTGTATTTTTTTAGGCAATTTTTGTTGTTGTTGATATATTTAAAGCTATATTTGTGTATTATGGTGTTAAATGATTGTATTCTGCCTGTATTTTGCTGTAGTATACCAAAATGTGTTATTGCTTGCTATTAAAATCAAAACTCACAATAAAATACCGATTCTTTTGTGTATTTTATTGAGGGATTTTTTGGGTTTGTAAAGTTTAAATTCACATTATGGTGAATCTTTCCAAGTATTTTCTGCCTGCTAGTTCTTTGCTTCTGTCATGTGATATAAAAAAAAATGTTATGATCTTTTCTTTTTTTTTCATATAATATTTGAATGTTTTTATTATATCTTTTAGTCTTGAATAAATTTTAAACCTTTCACTTTTCTTTAGCGTCGGAGCAATGTATCAATTTTTTTTATATTACTCCCACTAGCTTACGTCCAGTCAGATAAGTGGGAACTGTGACAAAATGTACTGGTGTATGGAGACATCTGCTCCCTCCTCCCTCCCTTCCCCTCTCCCTCCTCGTATGTTTACAATGGAGGTTTTTTTTCCATATTTCTCCATCAACCAGAACATTTTGTTACACTTCCATCTTGTCTGAAACTGTACTTCTGGTAACTAGACTTTCATAGTATAAAAAAAAGTAGACGTAGTTAGTTCATTGTTTACATTTGGAATCTCATATGATCAGCTGATATTTGTCACTTCTCCATTTTGTCTCTAGCTCTCAAGTTTTTCTTCTATCTCTCTTATCTCTCCCCCCGCCCCCCTCACTGGAGTGGATTATTATTCTTATTTATCAAAGGCAACTTATCTTTATCGCCTATAAAAGTGAATTAAGTTCATATATCACCGGATTCCAAATGTAAATGATGTGTGTTGTGAGACTTAACTATCCTTGAGTGTCTTACTAGTCTTCATCTTACCTACGTGTCCACTATGATTTCTTCCGCCATTCTGGTTTCCCGTGTGTGTGTGTGTGTGTGTGTGTGCGTTTTGTCCTGCTTATTTTTCTTTACTTCTCAGTCATTTATCAACTAGTGTCATTCTTCCTTTTCTTATTTTGTCATTACTTCTCTCCGTCA